TAGGAAAAAACAAGGGGAAATAGGCTACCTTGCATAATGACTTAGCCACTCCCAGTCTCTATTTAAGCCTAAATTAATAGTATCCAATTTGCAAATGAATTCCAATTCAGCAGTTTCTAGCTGGAGTCTGGATTTGAAGTTTTTTTGTTTTAAGATAGCGACCTTCATGTCTGTGATTGCGTGACCAGAGAGATTGAAGTGTTCTCCGACTGGTTTATGAATGTTATAATTCTTGACATCTGATTTGTGTCCATTTATTCTTTTACGTAGAGACTGTCCAGTTTGACCAATGTAAATGGCAGAGGGGCATTGCTGGCACATGATGGCATATATCACATTGGTGGATGTGCAGGTGAACGAGCCTCTGATAGTGTGGCTGATGTTATTAGGCCCTGTGATGGGGTCCCCTGAATAGAGATATGTGGGCACAGTTGGCAACGGGCTTTGTTGCAAGGATAAGTTCCTGGGTTAGTGGTTCTGTTGTGTGGTATGTGGTTGTTGGTGAGTATTTGCTTCAGGTTGCGGGGCTGTCTGTAGGCAAGGACTGGCCTGTCTCCCAAGATTTGTGAGAGTGTTGGGTCATCCTTTAGGATAGGTTGTAGATCCTTAATAATGCGTTGGAGGGGTTTTAGTTGGGGGCTGAAGGTGACGGCTAGTGGCGTTCTGTTATTTTCTTTGTTAGGCCTGTCCTGTAGTAGGTAACTTCTGGGAACTCTTCTGGCTCTATCAATCTGTTTCTTTACTTCCGCAGGTGGGTATTGTAGTTGTAAGAAAGCTTGACAGAGATCTTGTAGGTGTTTGTCTCTGTCTGAGGGGTTGGAGCAAATGCGGTTGTATCGCAGAGCTTGGCTGTAGACGATGGATCGTGTGGTGTGGTCAGGGTGAAAGCTGGAGGCATGCAGGTAGGAATAGCGGTCAGTAGGTTTCCGGTATAGGGTGGTGTTTATGTGACCATTGTTTATTAGCACTGTAGTGTCCAGGAAGTGGATCTCTTGTGTGGACTGGACCAGGCTGAGGTTGATGGTGGGATGGAAATTGTTGAAATCATGGTGGAATTCCTCAAGGGCTTCTTTTCCATGGGTCCAGATGATGAAGATGTCATCAATATAGCGCAAGTAGAGTAGGGGCTTTAGGGGACGAGAGCTGAGGAAGTGTTGTTCTAAGTCAGCCATAAAAATGTTGGCATACTGTGGGGCCATGCGGGTACCCATAGCAGTGCCGCTGATCTGAAGGTATACATTGTCCCCAAATGTAAAATAGTTATGGGTAAGGACAAAGTCACAAAGTTCAGCCACCAGGTTCGCCGTGACATTATCGGGGATAGTGTTCTTGACGGCTTGTAGTCCATCTTTGTGTGGAATGTTGGTGTAAAGGGCTTCTACATCCATAGTGGCCAGGATGGTGTTATCAGGAAGATCACCGATGGATTGAAGTTTCCTCAGGAAGTCAGTGGTGTCTTGAAGGTAGCTGGGAGTGCTGGTAGCGTAGGGCCTGAGGAGGGAGTCTACATAGCCAGACAATCCTGCTGTCAGGGTGCCAATGCCTGAGATGATGGGGCGCCCAGGATTTCCAGGTTTATGGATCTTGGGTAGTAGATAGAATATCCCAGGTCGGGATTCCAGGGGTGTGTCTGTGTGGATTTGATCTTGTGCTTTTTCAGGAAGTTTCTTGAGCAAATGCTGTAGTTGCTTTTGGTAACTCTCAGTGGGATCATAGGGTAATGGCTTGTAGAAACTCGTGTTGGAGAGCTGCCGAGCAGCCTCTTGTTCATATTCCGACCTATTCATGATGACAACAGCACCTCCTTTGCACTGCTATGGGTACCCGCATAGCCCCACAGTATGCCAACATTTTTATGGCTGACTTAGAACAACACTTCCTCAACTTGATGATCACTTTAGATAAGCTATTACCAGCAGGACAGTGGGGTGGGAGGAGGTATTGTTTCATATTCTCTGTGTGTATATAAAGTCTGCTGCAGTTTCCACGGTATGCATCCGATGAAGTGAGCTGTAGCTCACGAAAGCTCATGCTCAAATAAATTGGTTAGTCTCTAAGGTGCCACAAGTACTCCTTTTCTTTTTGAAAAACAAAAGTGATTCAGGAATGCTGTTGAGGTGCATCATGGGAGTTGCAGTTTGGGTGCCTGTCACTGGGTAACACCGGTCCTTTATGAGGGAGCATAGCCAGTGCACCTGTGACTCATCATCTACCTCCTAACTGGGTGTCAAAGAGGGCACCCAGGCCTTAGAAGGGAGAGATATCTGGTGAATCAGAGCTGCCTGACTCAGTTAGGAAAAGGGCAGGTGAGAGGTGCCATAAACCAGGGGGACTGTGGAAGGTCCCTGAAAAAAGCTGTACATGGTTTCTGGGGTATGGCTGAAGCATCTAGACCTCCCCAAGCCAGAGAACCAGAGCAAGAAGGCTGCAGAGAGCTGAAGGTGAGGGACCACCAGAGGGAGTTGCCTGCAGACTTCTAAGCTGGAGTGTGAAGCTGAGAGCTGGAGAGGACTGATGCAACAAACGGGTTTACCTCCATGCTGAAGAGCTGGAGCAAGAGGGCTGGAAAGGACTAGTGGCTCCCCTGCTGAACTCCCAGCAGAAAGGCTGTGGGTGTCTCTGCTGGGAAGAGCTGGATTGCACTCCAGCTGGACGGGGTGGGGTTGCTGCTCTGTTAAAAGGCAAGAGATGACTGACGAAGAGCACAGGCATGGTGGAAGATGCCAGAGTGTAATATGCGGGACATCAAGGGAATAGATATTGTGTGATTTTAAGGGGGTAATAAATTGTCTATGTTTGGGGTCTTTTGTTATGGACTCTTTAGACTATGTTGTAATAAACCGTCCCCAATGAGAGGAAACTGAGTGATGATAATGGGCAGGGTTCAGCACCGGAGGCTCATTTCTAGTTCATGTCTTATGTTCCTAAAAGCTCATGCTTCAGGGTTTTAGCCAGCTACCTGCACACTCAGATTTTATTTTCACCCAATATATTCTGGGAAGATTTTAATTTTTTTCTCCCCTTCTTTTGAAGCCTCAGGGATAGCCACGGCTAGAGATGGGACACTGCACAGGGAGGGCCAGTGCTCTGAGGTGGCACCGAACATTCTTTCTCTCAGGTGCTTGGCTGTCTAGTTCTTATTCACATGTTCAGGCTCTAACTTAAGCATCATAAGAGGGATTGCGAAGGAATGTTCCCTCAGGTCAGATTGGCAAAGGCTTTCATCTTCTTCTGCAGCATGTGGGTGCAGCACATGCCAGGATTATCTGGGTATTTCTCACTTACTCATTTCCCTGCCGTTGTGGGCTCTTGGGCACCAGAGCACCTCGGTCCCTCCAATTCTCTGCCTGTTGCACATAATCATCTAGTCTCCTGTGGACTGTAATACTTCGATCTAATTTCAGCTGTTGGGTTTAGTGTGCAGGTTCTGGGTGGTAATTGGTGGCCTACCCGATATACAGGAGGTCTGTATATACAGGATGATCTGGTAGTCCCTTCTGGCCTTAAGCTCTGTAACTTAAAAAGTCAAAATTTTCCATGGAGGAAGGGGGAATATTGATCCAACCAGTGAATGAGCTTGAGGCCGCATGGGTAAAAACAGTTATTGAGTTTGTGATATATCATCTGAAGGGAGTGACTGGAGCAGCCCCAGCTCTAAACTTTTCATTTCAGTGCCAGAATTTCTTCAGACATGTCTTAGGACATGTCTACACTGCCCTGCAGTTCGGACTATGGGAGTGTGTATAGCAGTGCGCATTGACGTGCTGCACTGTTCCTCCCCTGTGTGGATGCTGCAGGCACAAGATAAAAACTTTGCATTAACGTACTTCTCTTCAAAACAGGATTACAATATAATTTAAGAGAAGGGTGTTAAAGTAATACTTATAGTAAATCTGAATATCCTGGCATATGTTCTCACTGTCTTGTGAACCTTTTGGGCAAACAGAGGCAGGCAGGATAGGTTCAAGTCGGTCAAAAACTGTCTGTTCTTGCTTCAGAAGACCCATGCATTTTTCCCAGTGTCAGCCTGAAAAGGTGTGACTGGAGCTACAGAATAATCTTCCTATCTTTTGGTTGTATTAAATCAAATTCATGCACAGGTTTATTTGGTTTATTTCAAGTGGCTTTGATCAGATGTCTGGACATTGAGCAATTTACCAAAATCAACAAACACAAAGAAGCTAGAGACAATTGCATAATTTGCAAACAGACTAAACTCCATTTCCAAGAGACCAAATTCAATTGGCACCATCAACTGAGAAAGTTTTAAAGGCCAGAGAAAAGGGATGCCTGACTTATTCAATTACAAACAATTGCCAGTAATGATATCTGTTTTGACTCAGATTGAATTACCCTGCTGCTTCAGCGTGCATTGATATTTCTGTCTTACTGCCTGGACTTTACAGCAGATGTTTTAAGGAGAAAAGACAGGGATCTGCTCAGTGTATGTTAATGGGAGATAATACTGCATATTTTAAAGGTTATATAGGGTTTCCTCTGGGACACAGTATCAAATCTCCTGCCAGAAAAGAAGGGCTGATTGCTCCTGAATGATTAAGTTAGTGACTATAATATTTCTTTTCACAAGGGAAATACATTGCTCCTAAGAAATCATTGTGGATGTTATCTATTCTACATTTAGATTTGGAAATGATTCATGAAAGCATGAAGCTCTTTCCATTTGGAAGACAAAAACAGAGATGCAAAATAAATAGCTCATGTTTAATGATACATTTTAAAAACTGGAAAAAAGCATCTTTAAGGTTTTTTTTTTTGTTTTGGTTTGGGTTTTTTTGTTGTTGTTTTGTTTTGTTGTTGTTGTTTTAAGTACAGTGACTTGTTAGCCTAGAAAATCTCAGCATACCATTAGCATTAACATACACTATTATAACAATCTATCCATGTAAAAAAAGCAATCAGTAACCTGCAGGACCTTGTTAAATGTTGCCCTCACTTAGATTTCAGTAAGATAGCAGACAAGCTTCCAAAAAGGAACTTACATGATCAATTAGTTCACGAACCATTCCATTCCATTGTCCACTGGTATCATCCTGGGCTCCAAATTTGCCATCCTCCACCAGCCTAATTTCATAGGTAAATCCAAGGATGGTAGCTAGCTCCCTGAGGAGGTCAATGCAATATCCCTCAAATCGATCATTCCCATACAGAGGTTTGTCAGACTTCTTGAACATCACATATGGCTCTTCCTGTAAGTGAAGACACAGAGAGGGAGCTTCAGTCATTGTATAAAGTTGTTAATATATTACCACACACAGACAGAGGTGGACTTTAAAAAGAAAATCCTGTTGTCTCCCCTCTATCAAGGGAAAATTTACCTTGGATTACTCAAAAACGCTCTCATTTTTAAGTGAAAAAAATGAGCCAATAGTGAAGCCACATCTTCAGTGCAGCCGCACCCTACCTAATCTGAAATGTGTTCTCTACCGAATTGCTTATTAATGTCTAACATATTACTTGGGTAGTATCCTGTAAACTGCTTAAAATGAAAGCAATCTAACAATGTGGTTATTTGGCGACTGAAAAATTAATAGTTTTAATTCAGAATGTCAATCAAGAGTGTTAAGTATTGCATGCTATAATTTTTGTATAAGTGGGGATGTTAACTGCTTTTGCAATATTTTTTTTAAATAAGCATGTAGAAAACCTTTCAAAACACAAATCAGTAACAGTATATTCTGGTCCGCTGCATCAAGATATATATTTTGCTATTTATGAGACTGCAGAAAGCCCATGAAAACATTAACAAAAAAATAAATTTAAAAAAAATTAAGTCCATGGAAACTGAATTTTAATTCCTTCAAACCTTCAGCTGATATTTAATTGTAAGGTTAAGATGTGACTGAAGATTTAGGTAGATGTTTATTGTATTAAGTGGTATACAGAAGACAGTCAACATTTTAAAACAATTGGCAGATCATTAGTAATTTATTTGGTAGGAAACTAATATCTACTACTATGCTCAACTTCTTGTTATGTTTTGTATGCAGAATAAATGTAGCTTTCATTACATGTAATGCTGGGAGGGAAAAGAAATACCACATCAAGAATTTTCTATTACCAACCTCCAGTTTCCTTTTGACACAGAATAGGTTAAATACATGAGCTCAAGCTTTTCTCCTGTTTTAGAACCTTTCCCCATTTTAGACAGAATAAAAAATAACCACAAAGTAAGGCAAGAAAAATTGCACCAGATGCAATTACTGCACCAGACACAAGACTCAATGAATAATAAAATAACTCTCCTGGGTAACTTTATAAAATTCATACAGTACTAAACCTCTACATCAGCATTCACTGGGGTTAAAGGCACCTCATTCTAGTGGCACTTGGCAGCTTTAATAAGAGTCTGTCAGCATTTTCGCTATAAACACCATTTTTGAGGAGTCCCATAATTGATCCATTTAATTTGCATAAAGATGAAACTTTTGCACATATGATTTTTGCCCAGATACAAGGGTATGAGAGAGAGAGAGGGGGGTTTGTTGTAGTTAGAACAAAACATGTTCAAAAAGTATGTTATGTGGAAGGTTTTTTTTGGCCATCTTTTGTATTAAAAAGATCAATATTTGTTTTCTCCAAATTGTCATGTTATGACGCTATTTCACACATTTCTACTTAAAGAAATAAATGTAGGGCCTGATCTGGCAAAAGCTGGACCCACACAAGTCATTCCATTGGCTCCTCACATTCGTAAGAGCTACTCATGAGTTAGATTTTTTGTTATGGATCAGCACTTTGGTTTTTAACATTAAATTTGGCAAGTGGTTCAGGAGTTTTTGTATTTCTTAATTAAAAATATGAATTTTTATGTTGAAATTTGTTAAATCTGGAAACAGATCACTGCGTATACTCACTGGCTCTTTTTCATAGCTTGTTTTAGTAGGCAAACTGCATTTCCTACTATGTACAGAACAATGTGCACGCTACCTCCCAAGTTCCAAAACTCCATTAGCTTCAGTGAGATATTTCATATAAGCTTTATAATGTAAGGGCTATTATGGTATTTCAAGAGTCAGAATGAAGTCAAACTTTTTCTGGAATTTTGTATGAATTGTGTGGAGTGCAAGAGAATGATATTATGCAAAATCCAAGCAAACTGAAAAGCATGTAATAATTTAAGGGTCTTGAATATTTCAGTGGAAAGGATATTGGAATTATTTTGTGTTTTTCATTCTCATGTCTAAAAAATTGTAAAAAATGTAACTACTAGAGCTGGGTAGGAAACAATTTTCCTGTTCCATTCAAGTTTGAAGTATCAAAAAAACAAACAAACAAACAAACAAACAAAAACTGTCTATCCCGAATCAGGACTAAAGTCAAAATCTTGAAAATTTTCATAAACTGAAAAGCTGAAAAATATTTCTGTTTGGGTCAATCAGAACATTTCATGTTGATAATTTTGAAAGATTTCATTTTGAGTTTGACCATTTCTTTCTCTCTTTTCTTTTTTCTTTCTTTTCTTTTTTGTACTATACTTAGCTTATATTTCTAAACAAAACGTTGAGGCAGAAAACAAGACTATTTTAATTCATAACCAAACATTCTGACAATTTCAAAACTCTTTTTAAAAAAAAAATTGAGAGTCAAAAAATGGTCACAAAAACGGTTTCAGTTTCAATGAACTGGCATTTTCTGATGAAAAACATTTTTTTCAAACATTTACCAACCATCTCTATAAATATGACACCCTCGGGTCTGAGAAAATGTTGTACACTGTTCACAGAGCACTATGTGGTTAGAAAAGCAATCCAATTTTAGCTAAGTACAGCTCAGAGAACTATGTAAGAATGTGTAGCCTTGGAAAATTGATTCTCTAGGTAAAAAGTAAAACGTTTTGCCTTTGGTAAGCTGATGGCAATTAATAACCAGATCACTTCAGTTATGGAAGCTGTGTACTTTTGGGAGGGTCAGAAATGCCTGGAACCTCTTTATTTGCCTGATTTCTTAAAATATTATCTCAAGATGTATGGAAAAGCTCAGCAGTACATGCAGAAAAGGCAGAAGAGTTCAGTTAATATATCTGTTCTACATTTGGGAAAAAACAGATGATTTAGACATATTATATGAATATGAAGCACTTCTCATTCCAGTAGTAAGACAGGAGGATATCAAACAGCAGCTACTAAATTTAGAAATTTTTTAAATCAGCAAAGAAAGAAAAATTGCATCCAAGAGTTTTTAAAGAGCTGGCCAAAGGAGCTTGCTGGATATCTAATGTTGCTTTTCAATAACTCTTCTCACACTGTGGAAGATTCAGAAGACTAGAAGAAAGCTAATGTTGTGCTAATATTTTAAAAGTATAAATGAGATGACTAGCAATTATAGGCCTATCAATCTGATCTTGATCCTAGGTAAAATAACAGAGTGGATAATACAGGACCAGATTAATAAAGAATTAAATTAGAGTAATATAATTAATGCCAATCAACATAGATTTATGGAAAATACATCCTGTGAAACTAACTTGGTATCTTTCCTTGTTAAGATTATAAGTCCAGTTGATCAAGGTGTTAGTGTTGATGATACTGAGATTCCTGTATGGCATTTAACATGCTACTGCACATTTTGATTAAAAAACTAGAATGATAAAAAAACTCATGTGGAACAAATGAAATGGATTAAAAATTGGCTAACTGGCATGTTTCAAAATGTAACTATATACCGAGAATCATCATGAAGTGAGTATGTTACTCATTGGATCCCATAGGGATCAGTTCTTGGTGTGATGCTGGCAGACCAGATGCTAGCTCATGCCAAAGCCCCAGATCAATTCACTTGTTTATTAGTATAGATCAAAGTAATTATTAAATGTATTAGAGTGTATTTGGCATTTAAACATCATGAAAATTAATGGGACGTTACATGCATTGTTTTTACGCATCTGTATCCTCTTATAATGGCGTAGCAAACATTTACAATGTGTATATCCCTGTAACTCAACAGCCCATCAAATCAAGAAAGAAGCCTTATGGAATGCAAAGGAAGAACTCAAACAGAAAAGTGCTAATTTCAAAGCAAGTGGTAATTGTGTGTGATGATCAGAGGTCAAAGACTCTAAATGAATTCCTCACTCTCCATCAAAGGAAGAGCCCATGTGGGTAGTGATACTGTCAACTTGTATGGATTCCAGAAAAGATGCTTCATCTCTGGACTGTTGGATTCTAATAGGACAGAGAATAACTGCCTGAGAATATGGAGATCCCCAGAGTTATTCTGGGCAGCCCTGAGACACTTTTGGGATATCGGCAGATTATTACATCTCTGCTACCATTTGGAAGTATAGACTCTGACCCACTTGTCATATATTTTACCTGCTTTAAACTCTCTAACTCTCACTTCCTTGTCTTACCTAATAAACCTTTAGTTAGTTTACTATAGAATTGGCTATCAGCAGTGGTCTTTGGTGTAAGATCTAGGGTACCAATTGATTTAGGGTAAGTGACTGGTCTTTTGGGACAGGGTAACCGGATGTGGTGTGATTTTTAGACAAAGTGATCTTTTACCCAAAGTCCAATTCTCTTGACAGCAAGGTACACTTGGCATCAAGGGGTTTGTGACTCCACGTTAAGACTGGTATAGTGATCCAGGAGTTCACATTTGGTACTGGCTTGGTGAAATCTAATTATAGAACACATTACCAGTTTGGGTTGTCTGTCCTGTTTTCTGATAGGTAGGCTCTCACAGTTGTGAGCCATTCCAGACAGCATGACACTTGGCCCTATGCTATTTAACATTTATTAATGACATGGTAGAACACAAAATCTTCAATAATGAAGTTTTCATATGACGCACAAACTGGGGGAGTGGTAAATAATGAAGAGGAGAGGTCACTCACACAGAGTGAACTGAATTGTTTGGTAAGCTGAGCACCATCAGACAATATGTTTTAATACAGCTAAATGTAAACGTATACATCTAGGAACAAAGAATGTAGGCCATACTTACAGGATGGAGGATACTACCCTGGGAAGCAGTGACTCTGAAAAAGATTTGGGGGTTGTTGGGATAAAACAGCTGAACGTGAGCTCCAACTGTGATTCTGTGGCCAAAAGGGCTAATGCAATTCTTGGAGGCATAAACAGGGGAATCTCAAGTAGGAATAAAGAGGTTATATTATCTCTGTATTTGGCACTGCTGCAAGTGCTGTTGGAATACTGTGTCCAATTCTGGTGTCTGCAATTCAAGA